TGAAGAAAATGAAAAAAAAAAAAAGTACAACTTAATATTGATGCAAAACTACAACAGTTCAGGATTGTAGTCCACATGATGAACATAATAATTCTGAACAAAAATTACATTCTTAAAATGTGAAGAATTGGATGCAGTCTCAGAAAATGGTCTAACTTATTAACTTGTATAAGTTCCTAGTGATTTGGCGCGTCTCTGTGTCGTATTAAAAACAGAAATGTAAAACTAAGAGAAAATAGGTTTTAAACTGTAAATGCATATTGCAAATCCAGTCTACACATTTTTGTAGTTGAGATAGAGTCAATTTATTTCCATCCCTGGATTATCAATTTGCACCTCTTTTTTTCTTGTTTCATGCATGTATTTTCTCCATGCTTTTGAATTGACAACTTTCATATGATAGCCATTCATTCACATCTCCGCCAACCATTGATTTTCTAGCACCACAGCCCCTCATACCACAATCCATGATTAGTAACACAATTCTTGACTTGCAAAAGGAGACCAAAATTAATATCTCTAGGTCTAAAGAAATCATATCTCACGCATGAGCAACTTACTAGAGAAAGTTATATTTTCATTTCCTTTCTCCTGCGAGATGAGTCCCATTTGCATCGAAATCATCTTACGAGCTTCCTTTCTGCTCTTAGTCAATTTCGAGGACAGGCTAACTCCACTTTTCTGTAAGAAGGTTAAATTGCTCATCCTTTTTTGCGAGCCCATGTAAAGATAGGAGTACTTGTCAGGCGGTCCATTGGTAAAGCTCTGCCAGCTTCTTGTAGACTGAACTTTCTTCTCTTTAGGCTGCGAGTTTTTTTGGGTGGGATGGTCTAATTTTTCTTCGCCACTAGTTGGTTGGTCTCGACTAGCTCTATAACCTTTCAGTCGCCCTCTTCTTTTTTCCTCAAACTAGGGATCTGGTTAATTAGAAGGCATAGGTGCCTGCCATAGGTACGAATTGACTAACTAGCTTAGTCTATATTAATTGGGTTTAGAAAATGCATTTGATGGTGGCCTCAAATGAAAAGTCCTCTTGTTTCTTCATACCAAATAAACTCGGGACATCTTTGGTTTCTTGTGGATGCACAGTAACAGGCTAACAACTTCAACTAATGATCTTCCCTTTTAGTCAATTTGTGATACGGGTTCTACCCTACCAGCTTAATTTTCTTCCAAACAAACCATATCCTTAGGCTTCCTGAAAAATCCTCTATTATTCACAAGGCATCACAGCTAGTTGTCTTCAAGAAATATACTATTACAACTGCATTCTATGCCTGCAGTACCTTCTATCAAACATTCAATAAATCTAAATTAAGTAGAAAAGCTCGATCGATTCAATCCAAAACCTCATTGCCACCTTCGCACATCATTTCCACTAAATCGACTTCAGATAAAATTGAATTATACCAAATTAAATGTATCACGATCTGAATTTCAGTCCAATTGTATGAAAAAAAAAATAAATCCCACACGTACGCACACTATGAGAGACGAAATTGCAAAACCTTGATATCCAGTAGAGAGGAATAGGACTTGAGGCGGGCGAGCTTAAAGGCGCGGAGGAGAATTCCGATGCCCACACGAATACCGTAAGAAAGCAGGAAGCTCTGGCAAAGGTTCCCGACGGCATTCGCAACGCATGACTCGTCAGCGTGATCGCACGGCGGGTGGAGGTTCGCCGGCTCGCCCCTCTGCCGGCGCTGCAGGTCCTCTATGGCTTCCTTCAGCCGCTGCTCCGCCTCCCTCAGGCGGAGCTCCGCGGCTTCGGCGGTGGAAGCTGCGTCGACTGGCTGTGGCTGCGGCGGCGAGGTACGCATTTCAGTGTTGATGGAGATGTTTCAGCATGACACCCTTTTTTATTTTTATTTTTTTTCGGTTTGTAAGAATTATTAAAAAAATATTTTCAGTTTATTTTTGTTATTTGTTTGGAGCCTATTCCAGACCAACCCAAGCTGCTGCCTGAATTTGAGCCAACTGATTTGATTTAGGCAAAAAGTGGTCGCCCAGTGGAATTTCAACTTCAGATTTTACTATTTTCGAAAGACTATTTTATGTACATGGGTACTTTTTAAAAAAATTATTTTAAATTTTATAATTAATAAGCTCTCTCTCTTTTTCCCAATTTCCTCCATTAAAAAACCTTGCATTCTTCAACTTGTTTGCCGTCTCCTTGCAGCCGGCCGCTCCGATCACTTGCGGAGATGATCGGCCCGTGTGCAGCCTCCACCCTTCTTTCCTCTGATCGTATTCTCCGATGCCGCGCTTCCCCTCAATTTGGACGGCTGCAGTGGTATCTTTGGGCGACTCTTCGAAGGTGAGGACAGGGTGTGCGGATCCTGTTGGTGGTATCTTCGGGCGACTCTTGTCCCAGATTTGCTAGACGGGGGTTTGGGATAGGGTTTTCCTTCCGAGTAGAGCCTTTTGGCTTGTTTCGAGGGCTCTAGTCGAAGTTGGGGGAGGGGGTATTAGGGGGTTGGTGTGGGTCTTTCGGGTGCGGCTCCGAGTTGGGCCATTNTTATTCTTCCTTTGGGAGCTTCATTCACTTGTAGGAGTAGATTCTTCACTTGTGAGAGTAATATTATTATCGTGAGTGCGTTGTGGTGTCTAGACTCTAGACTGTCGTGTGAGTTGTCTTATCACTAATTCTACTAGATGATTGGTTTGACTAATTCTGGCTATTATCTTTATGTAAATATGTGTTGTTTTATATAATTCTTATCGTTAAATAAAAAGAAAAGAATATTTAAAGTATATTCTTTGTTATTTGATAAAATATAATTAGATTGTGCAATTCATATCCATTTCATTTTATTAGTTTATTTTTTTTTTAATAATGAACAATAATTACTTACATTATAATAAAAATATAACGAATGATAATTATAAACACTAATGCAACACATGTGTATTACACAAGTGTTTGTTAAGAAATTTATATTCAAAACTAAAAAAAATTATAAAAAAATTATTTTAATTTTCAATACATTTTTGAATAACTATATTACTATTTATATTTAAAATAACAAACATCACTTATACAACTTACATCTTATATTATAATATTTTTTAAAAATTATATCATTTAAACAACTTGGTAGTTGGTTTAAATAATATATTTTTTAATTAATATTAATAGGTAATTTATTTTTTATTATAAAGATAAAAATTTAATTAATTTTTTTTTTATTTTGTGTATACAGTATAAATGTCAAAGCGAAACTCATCAAGACATGATTAATTTGATACATTATATATATAAATAATAAAAAAAAATTATTAACTTTTAAATCTACTTATAATTTAAGTTAACATTTTTTGTCATAGTTTTAGAATAAAGATGAGGAAAAAAGATAGATTGAGAAAAAATTATGTCTTATAAATCATGTCTAAAATATAAATAAATGTAATATTGATGCTCTTAAAGATGTCTTAATCAGTTGATAAGATAATGAAATTTAATCTTGTGATTTTGTCTTTAATTAGTTGATATGATAATGAGATTGGATGTGTACTCAACTCAACTATACATGTTGTGTTATGTACAATAATTTGTGTACATAAACGGTTGGATTCACTTAAATAAAATACTTATGTGGACCCTATCTATTTAAATATATGCACACACGGAGTGGAAATATTAGAGGTTTTTGGAATCCCACATCGAAGCTGAATTGCGCTATCTAGCCTTCGGCACAAACTATAAAGTAAAGGAAATACATAGATATACGTACTTACCTGGACGGGGCCTTTGGGTGATCAAGAAGACTCATGGTCTAGGGAGGCGACCTTCATTGCACTTGGAAGGGGCGTCCTTCTAAGGTCGGCTCTTGCGGGGGTCGAGCCTACGTCATAATTTGTGGTAGTGGGGCCTGCGTACGCGCGGCCCTCGCCCAATTCCAAGTCAAATCTTGAGCCAACTTAGTCCATTAGTTATTGCATTGACGAATGTCAGCCTAAGTGTTTGTCGCCCATATACTGAGTGACTGTTGAAGACCCATCCAATTGGGATGCTGAAGCGGAATTTCTGTTGAAAACTCTAGAAGACGTAAATTTAAAATGATCGGCATGGAGATAATTGCCTTAACCGGACAGGTATGATGAAGATCGTTTATTGAGACTCGATTTTGTATAGGAACCCGTTCTAACGGTCTTAATTCGAACACGATAAAATGTGTAAACCCGGACTGACGGCCTTTGTTGACACATTAATACGTGAAATACCTGCATTATCGGCTTCGGTTCACGAAAACAGTACTCGAAAACGAGCCTTTTTTCTTAAACTTTATTTCATAAAACTCGATTCTTACAATAATGAATACACAGATTTTTATAGCGTAAACATAATAATTCAAATATTCAAACAATAACTAACATATAACTAATACATTTAAACTACATATTTAAAATTTAAACAAAGAAACTAACATCATTTATCCTAATGCATGGTCATTCCCGCTCAAAATCCAAACTGTCTTGTTTTCGAGTCTGGTTCGCATCAAGGTACTCTGACTTTTGTAGAGGATTGTAGATTTTCGAAAGAGTATAGAATAATTTCTGGTCCAAGTGGTCAAGCCTCATGGGCTAATAGAATATTTTCTGGTCCAAGTGGTCGAGCCTCGTGTGGTCCTGCGTTCTATCATCCACCGCCCAATTGCAGTCTCAATTTAAATAACAGTTTTCTCACTGTAATCTAAGTTGCCATACTGCTTAAATTTTGTATAATTATACTAAATATAATAATATAATTACATAGAAACTGAAATTAAACAAAATCTAATGACAAGTAATAATCCCTTCAACGGGGAGACCGCACTCCTCGGATCAACAAAATGTATCACTTAACCAAGTTAGTTCGAAGCTTATTGTGACGGGAAAAATTCAAACACTCTCTTTTGTTCTTTATCTTATCCTGAGTAAAATAACAGATGGAAAAATTCCCAGCATTTAGCTGCATTATCTTATCCCACATGGGTAAAAGATATATAACTCAAATGGAGAGTCTCCACTATAAAACAGCCAATACAAATGGAGATTCATTCACGCAGCTGCGTGGTGAGCACATAGCGAACTATTCATTCGCCTTTTACTAAAGAATACCGTGTGCTTTCCACACTTCAAGCAGCATACGCCTATTTTTGGAAGGGATCCATTTCCTCAAGGAAAAGGTTCCTACAATTGAGTTTACAAATTTACCATAATATTTCTGTCCATTGATTTTGTCATTGATTTTGTCTAATCTCGTCAATTTGAGTCTTGAAACCCCGATTATGAAGGGCTGTTCACTTTTGTGAATGTGACGTGGTAGAAATTTTCTCTTTTTGCCTCTACAAAGTAGAGACAAAATAGAAATTTGGTAGAATTTAGCAATAATATTTGGAAATAATATGAACTCTGTTTCGGAAGTAAATTGAGTGGCTCATTAGAAACTTACACCAGATCTATATAATAGTCTAGTAACATTAGTTTATGCATAAATATTTGTTACTAGCTAGGATCAGGCAATCGAATACTAATGTTTGACGAGAAACTAGAGAGCCGTTTTGTTTCTATCTATCGTTTTTTGGAGGAAAAAAGAATCAGCTTGTGTGAATTCGAACCTTGCAGGAACGCTTTAGCGCAAGTGTTCTTTCATGTATATATATAATATACCAATGGGAATTAAAGAGATATAATAAGTAGAGGAAAAAAAAACCCGGCTATGATAACAGCATCCCAATCCATCCTTCCGTTTCTTACAAACATGTTGAGAGCCCACGTCCCCTTTTTCCATCTCTCGTCAGCAAATCTCGGATACTGAAGTTCTTGCGAAATCTTTGAATCGGTAACTTCATTCCCAAGTTCCTTTCGACTTTCACGGTGCACCAAAGGAGATGATTTCTCTTGTTTATCTGCCAATGTAAAGTTTTCGACATTTGGAGACATGAAATTTGTTGCAAGACTCGGTTTCTTTGTTGTGTGTTGAGAGTTGCAAGCTCTGTGTATGCAGGCAGTTATGCCAATGGATGCCATGAGAGCTAAAACAGAAAAAAAAGTTTTACCCATATGCACTATCACGATTTTGGCGCATTACCATATAAACTTTTTTTCTTAACAAACCACCATCTGAACTATACGAGTTTGTCACTTTGCCATCTGAAACTAGAATTAAAGTTGTTTTTGTAAAAAAAAGCTGGTCTATAAGAGTATTTTAGGAATTGCATATGTTTTTTTTTTTAAAATGAACGAGTGGAACTTGGACCTGGGAAACTACTCGTGCACCCTCCAATCGGTGTTGCAAAACTCGAAGAACACCGACGGACGGAGTGGCCGTAACCGGAGCCTCCGCTTCCAGGAAACTCGTCGGGGTCGTCACCTGAGATGGACTCGCAGAAGGCACACTTAGTGATACCGCCGGAACCTGTACCACAGAAAGAGACGGAAGCTGTGAGACTCGCTTGTCTCTGGAGAGCATGTTGGCACTGCCGGAGAAATGGTTGAAGAGTGAGTGGGTGGCTGAGATCGTGGACGGTGCTGGGAAGGCACGCCAAGGAACTGCGTACTGTCGGAATATCGGTGTACGGATAAAAGCAGAAAAACAACGGGAAATGATTTGTTCATTTTTTGAGGATCAAGATTTTTGGTAAAATATTTCGGCGAGTGAGCTGCCTTTGTAAAGAAAAATTATTAAATGAAAAGAAAAATGTGAAACAGAAAAGTAAAATAAATGCTTTTAATCCAAGATTGATATTTTAATTGAGGCATTAAGGAATTATTACATAACTAGCCGAGAACAATATTCGAGTGAGCCTTTTGAAATAGGTCTTGTTTTCTTGTGATTTTTTTTTTTTTTTTCATTTGAGCTGTGAGTATGAATTATTGTGATTTATTCACGATATGTTGCCATCATATTTGTTTGTATTGTTTTCGTGTTGAGACGTGAAATTCCCAGGTTCGAGTCCGTGTTTCGTGTTTGCTTTCTGGGCAAACATGGGAGTTGCATGTCTTGTACTTGGCTAAGCACTAGCCATTGCACATTTTTTTTACGTACACAATTGTGGTTTTTTATGGACTTCGTTTTCTTCATTAGCTTACCATTGCACATTAATTTTACTTAAACATGGACTTTGTTCCTTCATTAGCTTCTCATTTTTGCAGTAAGTCTTGCATTGGTGTGATTTATATATGCAAAATTGAAGGTATCTGGTTATTATACAGGTTGTTTTAAGCTTGAACATTTATCTTAAAATAATAAATGAAACAATAATAATATACAGTCGAGGAGTTGTTGGGTCTTTCTCTTCTGAAGTTAATAAGAGGCAAAAAAAATAAAAAATAAAATGTAATCATTATACAGTTATTTGACCGACGCGGCTCCGGCGGCATAGCCGATCATGTTTCCGAAGAAGGCAAATAGTCTCGAGCATGACGGAGGCATATTTTCCGTATGAGACGTCGATAAGGAGGCCCCGGTTGGGCCTTGGATGAAGGTGTGGGAGATGTCGAGCATCCAAAAGCTGGCCAAGAAAACGGCGGTGACAACAGCCAAGCCCGGAGACGTCGGCGGTGAAGGCGATGAAGATTGCAGATGGAGAGGGAGCCGCGTTTGTTGGTTGGCGACATGTGTTTCATTTTATTTTATTTTTTGTTAAAAAACATACATATTTTCTAAAATGCCCTTAAAAATTAACTTTTTTTTTTTTGTCAAAACTACTTTATTTCCAGTTTAGAGGGCAGGATGAAAAAAACATGGAGTTCGTATGGTGGTTTGTCAAAAAATATAGTTGATATGGTAAGCCGAAAAAATCGCGATAGTTCGGAAGAGAAAAAGTAATTTACCCAAAAAAAAAATATTTGGTTATTTGCTCCTTTTCATTTTTTTTTCCTTCACAATTGATGTCAATTTGCTCGATTTGGTGTCAATTTGCAAGATTTGGGAGGATAAGGAGTGGCAAAAAGCCCATTCTCTTTTTAAATAAACTATATTATCCTTCAACTGTCTGCCATTGGCATGGTACATATTTTTGCATATTGTTTAAACAAATATAGTTCTGTTAACTAACAGTGTAAGTTGTTAAAGTAGAAATAGATATTAAGGGTGTCTTTAGAATTTGAAAAGATACTTTGAAATCTTTTCATTTAAGAGTACAACCTCAAGGCCCCTTTTGCCATCAACTCATCCTTAACAATGATATGACAAATTATCCTCTCCTGATCAAGGATTTAAAAATTACATAAGATTTCCATCCATATGAGAGCGATTACAGCAAGTTTAGTCAGTAGATCAGATAGCAGAAGAACAATAACGCAAAACAATTACATAAATTGAAATTGCAACTGAACTAGTAAATATTTCTTTAGTTGAGCAAGTTCACAAGTACTCGGCCACGAGAGAAAGACTGGGGACAATGACGAAACGAAGCTTCATTTCCTGAGACTGATCATCAAACAGAGAGGCTTTTAACTTGCTCACATTGCCTTTTAAATCATGAGCACAACATGCATACTCAGTCGTGCTAGCTAAAAATTCAAGAGAAATGTGAGAAAGAACTAGAACAATTTTATTGATTTATATAAAATAAGAATTGTAACTAGGCTTCCCAACCCCTGAGTAGAGTAGCACGAGCAACACGATTGACACCCAATGTAAAGGCTCCCATCCTAAGGTTGCAATTGTGTAATTGGCACATGTGCTTTATATTGTGGAAGGCTTTTGTCATGTATCTTTTTAGCTCCTCATTCACTTTATCCTCATCCCACATAAACCCTTGAATGTTCTGCATAGTAAAAATTAGAAGTGAATTACAATATGCAATATTGTAATTAATTATATATATATATATATATATATATATATATATATATATATTTGTCGATCAAGCAGGAGAATGTTACCTGGACCCACTCAAAATAACTGACTGTCACTCCTCCGGAGTTTGCATATATGTCGGGAAGTATTACAACGCCCTTTTTCGACAAAATCTGCAGAAGTAAAACTGTCACGATAAACTGTGATGAAATATATTAATTGAATGAAATTAAAGAGTGAGAAATAAGAATAATTATTTTGGGACCTCGTCAGCTTCAGGATCAGTGGGATGATTTGCAGCTTCAATAATGAACTTGGCCCTCACATTTCCTGCATTTTCTCTTCAAACCAAGAAAATAACCAAGGTGCATATTAGCCAGATCGCACCAAGAAAAAAGTTTCATAGACAATTCTTCACAAAAAAAAATAAAAAAATCAGAATTACAAACAGAATATGACCAAAGATCAACATTCTTTCTTTATAATATCCCTATAAAAGGCAAAAATCTAAAGTAAATACATGCTACTATTAGTTCAAAAAAGGAAAGGTTTGTCGTGATAGACTGAAATGAACTCACGTTCATAGAAGAAGGGGCTTTTGAAAAGAAAAGGGTCAAACAAATATTATTAACTAATTCATAATTATCTTCAGGATAATAGTGGTGCTCCAAGAACATAAATATCTGTTCTCCGTGCAAATATTCATAACAGATATCGCTAAAGAAGGAAAAAAAAAATATATACGAACACTTTATTAAAATTATCTGATATCTGCATACATGTATCAGCAGAATCAAGTTGCTAACACAGGCTAATCAATGTTTCTGGCACTGCAGAACCCAAATATGTAGACATCTATTTGATATAAACAAATAAATAACATATGCAGCTTCAAAAAAAAAAAAACAATGAATTTCACGAATTTACTGCAGCATGCATCTTTGGCACAGGCAATTAATCAACTTTAGCCATCAAAATGCTATTTAAATTAAACCTGTTGAGAACTCCGCCTAGAGCACAAGGTATGAGAACATCACATTCGTGAGTGAGCAAATCGTCAGAATCCATTGCGTCAGCACCATTGAAATCAGATAATTTGCCAGTTTTCTCTTTGTGCTGAATTAGTGACGGTATATCAATGCCATTAGCATTCTTAACTGCTCCAGTTATGTCACTCACTGCTACAATTTTTCCTCCAAGCTCATGTAACAGCCTTGCAGCCCATGACCCGACATTTCCAAACCCCTAAATAATATTATGATATTCAGTTTTGTAGAAAACTGTAATGGAGTGGAATGCAATGAAGACAAGTTTTAGTAGTTATTACAGAAACTAGCCTTACGGTTTTGACTTAATAATATAAGAAATTGGTTATCGTTTTACAAATTTTCCATTTGATGTTTTTAGTTAGTTGTTGTTAACAATTAAAATCATCCCCCTGAATTATGGGAAGTTCTGTACACTTGCAAACTACACCTTTTTTTCTGTTGTACTTTACCCTATGAAATAATCATTTTTTTTTTTCACAAAATGAAAAAAAATTGCCGTGTTCATGGAATATGCCAATCACTGAATAATGTGAGATTTCTTCGGACAAAGTGGAAAAATAGAAAATAGTACATTTCAGGGGAACAANCAAAGCTCAGGGATTGTTGTGCAATTTACTATATTAAAAATTTCAACTATAAGGTTCGATTTGTAAAACGCAAACTCATGTTAGTGAAAATAATACCTGAACGGCAAACGTCAAGTCCTTGATCGGCTTTCCATGTTCAGCAAGTAAGGCTTCAGTGGCAAATACAACCCCACGCCCAGTTGCGGCCTCACGACCCAGTGATCCTCCAAGATCCTAATGTATAAAACACAAACACACATAATACACACACACAAACGTATATTGTGAATTTTTTTTTTTCTTTTAAGGATTTACTTACAATTGGCTTTCCCGTGACAACTGCTGGAGAGTGACCATGAAATTTCGAGTACTCATCCAGAATCCAAGCCATTGTCTGCACATCACAAACAATTTTCAGTTACATCTTTGTAGAGGAATGAAAGAGTAAAAGTATATGAAGTGAATGTTAAACAAAAAGGGGACATAATATTCACCTGAGCATTAGTTCCCATATCAGGTGCGGGCACATCAGTGTTAATGCCTATAAGATCGTGAATCTTTTGCGTGAAGACTCGAGTTAGACGTTCTAACTCGCTTGTACTTAGATCTTTAGGTGTGCACCCGATTCCACCTTTTGCCCCACCATAGGGAATATCTGCTACAGCTGTCTTCCAGGTCATCAATTGAGCAAGAGCATTGACTTCATCAGGGTCAACCTTCAGGGAGAAATTTTAATGTCAGTGTAAGAATGAAACAATATGATAATTAAAATATGACTTTTTAATACTATGTTTTGGATGGATTCTTTTATGTACAGAAAAACAAAGATAAAGGTGTGGTACCAAAATATCAATCATTTTACAAAGAGCATATCTGGAGTTCTGCAAAAAGAACATTCATTTTGCCTTTTTCTTTGCCCTTTTGTCCAGATTACAAGAAGACAAAGTTAATAGCATGTTTCTTGCGAGCATTACAAGTTGACATTCACCATATTACAAAATACTAAGCATCAAAACGAAGAATTTTAGTCAAGGAGATTTTCTGTGACTATTAATAGGAGACAAGGAAGCAGGATGTCCATGACTCTAGACAATATTTATTATCATCATCAAAAGAATTACAGACATAAATCATCTATAATTCATAGGAAATGAGTATAGTACCTCTCATTTAATCAAGAAACAAAAAGGGCACTCATGGGTCCCGGAGCAACTCACCTTTCGATTCTTTGTTCGTTTTTTATTTTTAATTTTATTTTTATTTTTTTGGGTAAACTAAAATCAAACTCAAGATTGCGATAGTTTAACTGTTTAATTCCCCCATTTTCACAGGCTAATGTTTGAAAAACATGTATATCTTACAATCTACGAATAGAGACAGATCATCGAATTTCATATCTTCATATTAATGTCAAAATATAAAGGCCCTAATCCACCAAATCTTTGAATCAGAACAGCAGCCAACTTCCCCACTCCAAACCCCACAAAAAAGATACAAAACAACACATACGATTGATCTAAATAAGAAAAAGATTAATATTCCAATAACACCCCATTAACCAGCTCAAAATAAAATGAACAATGAAGTAAAAAAAAAAAATGTCACACCTCTGGATGGTATCTGATCCCTCCTTTCATGGGCCCACGGGNCCTTAATTTCTCTGAATGGGATCAAAAGGCTCCTCTCAATCTTGGCGTCCAGGCCGAGGATGCGAGCCGCCTGGCGAAAATTCCGATTGGTTGCAGCAAGAGCATTCATTTTCTTCAGATTGCAGAGAACAGATTATTTATTATTAACCCAGAAATTAGGCCTAAATCTTGGAGTAGTACCGAAGTGAAGAACAAAGAAAAGGGTGATTACTCCCCCAGAACAAGTGGACTATATATACTACAAAGTTGAGCAAGATTAGTTACATAGATAAAAATAAGTGAGAAAAAATTATACGAGTGCTATTCACGTTTTATGATATATCTAGGGTAGGGTGGTGTCACTAGTCAATTGTGTAGTACTATACTGCGATTTTTTTAGCAAAATAAGCACATTTGACTGCACATCTCAAGGTTTGGTAATTTTGTTTTGTGTAGTTTTATTTTACTCTTTTTTTTTTTTTATTTATTTCTTTGCAAAGTTTTATTTTACTTCTACCAAAGACTTTGTAATTGTGTGTACTGTAGTGTGATAAGCAATAAGCACATTTGACTGCCCATCTCGAGGTTTGGTAGTTTTGTTTTGTGTAGTGTTATTTGACTTTTACCAAAAATTTTACAATTGTTCTATCGTATTGCGTTGAGTAGGTGTATCAACAAATCGAATCAAATTCATTTGAATCATCGAATACTCAATTATTTGATTCGGATTCGTTAAAAAAATTGACAGTTTGTATATATATGTGATTCGTTATTGAAATTAAATTGTAATTCGTACTCGATTCAATTTAAATTTTGATTTATTATAAATATATTAATACATAAATATACTAAATACATAAATATATTTATATGAAAATGTTTATAAATATAAATATATTCATTTATTTTATATTTATATTAAATATATAAATAAAATTTTATATTCTATATATATATTAAATATTGTATAACTATTGTTAAAGAATCAAATATTCGATAATTTTGATTCGAATATGTGTTATTCGTATTCGGATTTTTGTATAAATTTTTAATACCAAAATATATTCTTACTTGAATTCAAATTCAATTTTTATGAATTTAAATCACAAATACCGAATTTGAATAACGAATCCAATCGAAAAAAAATAAAATTCTTTACCGTGGAGCGTTCATACTATATAGTTTCATTATCTATCTGTTAAGATTTAATCATCAAAACAACAACTTTTTACAACAATTTTAATGAAAATATCAATTCAGCGATGTTACACGTAAGAAATTAATTACATCTACTTTAGGCCGGCCCATTAAGTCAGAACGAAAATCGGGCCTCTTCAATATTGGGCTTAAGTTATGAAAAAGAACAACCTAAGAAATCTTGTTACCAAAGTTATGTCGATCCACATTCACGCCAGAATGTCGATCTCTCGCTGATCTACATCTATGCCAGGATGTCGATCTATTTCCATCATTGTAATAAACATGGGCATAGGTCGCCGCTTCCGATTTGAATGAATCGGCTGAAAAAATGGGCCAGGCGACTATGTTGTGCCCATGCAAGATCGGCGGCCAGGCTGCTGGGCGGTGCCTACGCGAGCTCGACACAAATTTTTCTTTTTTTTTTAAGAAAAATATTAGTTACGTTATTTTGTTATCATGTTTTTTTTTTATAGTATATTAATATTATTATTTGGACTTGGGTAGATTTATTATAAGTAAAAATAAAAATATTAGTTACGTTATTTTGTTATCATGTTTTTTATAATATATTAATATTATTATTTGGACTTGGGTAGATTTATTATAAGTAGAGATAATTTTTGTCGATAGAGAAAATAAATAAAAAATAAGGTATTTATTCATAATTTCTAGGCGAGCGCTTAGCGACTTCTAGAACACTAATTTTCATTTCTTCCTCTCAAAGAACGACGATCCCTCTGCATATGAACAGGAACCGACAAAGCAAACTGATAAAGTAACCGTCCAACCGATTCCATCATCATAAGTCGAGACTGCATGGAGACGTGTGTAACTTATATAGTTGTCCCCTAAGTCATAATAATTCTTATTTTGATGTATATAAATTCGGTCTTTGAGGCCCATGAAAACACATACTAATTATTTCACAAATATATATGGCAGTAATACTGTTTGTCAATCCCCGACATAGATAGACGATCTCTCTATTGTTCCCATATCTTTGCCCATATATGCTTACCGTTAATTTCTAGGCATATATAGCAGTTATTCTATACGGTTATAATCTCAATAGAACTCACGATTAGACCACCCCATTATTCATAATTAATTAAGGTTGATACCCGAACGTCAACAAAATGGCACTAGAAGGAGAGCGGTAATCAAGGTTACCTCTGAACTCTCCCTATAAATAGTTATACCCTAAACCAAATTATCTTCAACCAAAACACCACCTACAACCTCTTTGGATGGCGCGTCTAGATCACCTATTTCGGCCAAGAGAAAGGGCGGCACGGTCGACCCTTCTGTCTTGAAAAAGTTACATTGTTGCAATTAATATAAAGATTAATATATAAGTTAAATAGTTTATATCTATATCATCCATCTTACTAATAATAAAATTTATAAAATGTCATATGCTCATTATCTAACTTATTATTTTAAATATTACACACATAACATATAAATTTTATTTGTATTTGTACATTTATACATGATCAAATAATAATTAAAATGCAACTCCAATAACGCAATCAATAGTACTATATATGAAATATTGTTATTGACAAGTAATAATACTATAAAGCTTAACCTAGAATTATACGGCCCAATCGATCAATTTGAACACCCTTACATTGCTACTACTCTTCCTCCTGTCGGGTATGTAACAATATTATTATTATTATTATTATTATTATTATTATTATTATTATTATTATTATTATTATTATTATTATTATTATTGTTGTTGTTTTTGTTGTTGTTATATTTCAGTTGTACTTAATACTTATTACGACTAATCGGACTAGTATTATATAGTTTGGACCACGCAGACACACATTTCTGACTTGTAAAGCAGAATAGCTCGATTTGGATAGCTTGTTTGTGGAATGTGAGTGTATCTGCAATGTGCCATATAGACTTTTAAAGCAAAATAGCATCAGCTTCTTTATCACTACAAATAGCTTTCTACCTGGAAACTGAGTGTATGTGCAATGCCCAATCAAAGAAAAATACCATCACCTTATTTGTTGCAAAATAGCATGTGCAATAACAGCATTAATTAGCCGGGGGTGGTCTTACTAGGATTATTTGTTTACCTTAGATTGTTAATGTTTATGTATATAGATGTTATTCGAATTGAATTTTCGTAAAAATAACGTGATTGAATTCGTGAAATCTCAAGTTTCAATTCGACTATTTTGCTGAGATGAGTTCGAACATCTAATAAAGCTCATCCATTAAATGGGTCTAGCCTAGCGTATTCGCTAACAACTTGATTAGTGTTTAGAATTAGGATTTATTAAGTAAGTCAAGTTGGATTGAGCTTAAATTAGTCGAGCTTAAGCTCATTGATAGGTAAGAAAAATATGCATGTTTTATATATTTAATGGTGTATTTATGCACTTAGTTTATTCGAATATTTATATTTTTTGACTTATTGGTTATCTGGATAAATTTATATGCTTTGATTATTATATATTTTTTTTTCATCGCATAAAAGTATTTCATGAATGCAAAGCATTGGATAAAAGTTGATGTAGTTAATTTTTGGGCACTTGATGTCAGGCGAATTAAGGCCCAATGGGCCCAAACCCACATTTAAGTAGGCCTAGAGTTGGAAAAAAATAGATGCTGAAGAAAATAATGTGGGCCTAAAAAGGAAATATTTGGGAGCATACTATTTGGTCAAAAAGGGACGCGTAGACCTTGGCTTGGAGAGGACTTTTAGGTCATGTTTGTTTATGAAAATTTTTCAAATTTTTTTTAATATTTTAACTCAACTATTTTTTTTAACTCAATTCTAAATTAACTTCATTATCATTAATATTATTAATATAACTAAATAATATCAATCAATCATTCACACACACCACATCAACATTAATTCACTATTCATATACTCACATTATTTTAACTAACCATCACTTCAATAATCTCTCTCCCACTTTTACATCAAATCAATTATAAATATTATTTTAATATACCCACTAACAACTAACCTTACCACTTTTTTTAAATTTAACTAAACCAAACTAAAAAATCCAAACAAAATAAAAAATTTTCATAAACAAATTGTTCGGGGGACATTCACTAATTGAGATATGAATTATTAAGGCATGCTTGTATAAAAATATATATATTCATTTAATTAAAATGAGTTTTTTTTTGTTAACTAGAGTTATTTTTAAAAAAATATATATAGTTAGTTGCTAGTGAAATTTTAAATTTATATTAAAATATTTTTTTAAAATAAAATAATTAAACATTAATTTGATGTAAAAGTACGAGAGGGATGATATGAAGTGATCTTAGTTAAAATTATGTGATTGAATGAATAATAAATTAAATTTGATGTGATGTGATGATTGATTTGTATTATTTAATTATATTGATAATAGTGAAGTTGAGGTAAAATTGAATTCGATTTAAGTTTTTTTTTAGAAATCTTGTACTTCATGAATCTAAAATGGTGGGAACTCTTCCCAATCGCCACTGGGGATTAAGATAATGTAGCAAATAAATCAGAATCTATATTGGCCCAAACTACCATGGACCTTCAGTTCCAAGGTTAGGAGAATTTAGGGGTGGCAAATTGGTCGTGCAGGGTGTTATTGATCATTAAGCACGATAAGAGAAATTTTGCTAAGAAGAAGCTGTGATATTGCCTTGCAGTATTGCGGAGTTGGGGAGCTGAGTGATTTGATTAGTTTTATCCCTAAATTTCTACCAATGTTTCTATTTAGGACATGTATCTCAAGTAGAGTTGTTGAACGAAACGAGATGCTCTCGACTCGGTTTTGATCGTTAAGGTTAAAAAATAAGAATTTTATATAATTTGACTTGTTAATATTGACAAATGAGTCAAACTCGATGACTGACTTGTTTAGTTAACGAGCCGCGACTCGACTCGTAAAAGGCTGGAGCTCG